TAAGGTAGAGCAATGGTGATTTTACCATAAAATCACTAAAAAGATAAAAGGAAAAGTGGTTAGGAAATCTAATTACGCGGACCTCCAGGAATATTGGGTACAAAGAGCTGGACAATATGGCCAAACCTTACATCATGGTAAATATCTTAATTTTGGTCGATAGAATATAATTCTGATATTAATTTAAAAACAATAAAAGCCTAAAAAAGACTTCAGAGAATGCCCACAACAGCTGTCTATGTAAACCTATGACAATTGCTTTGCTGGATTTATAAAACTCCTCCAACACAACATTTTGGAAAACAAAAACACAGACAAAACTACATAAAGTCCAGAAAGCCAATCAAATGTAGTCCCCAAATATTGAATTCAATTATATTGTGATATATATTGAAATATCATCCAGCCCTATAAATATTTTAAAAAAATCTGCATTCCTGTTATCTATGAAGTCGACAATAGGCATGCAAGATGGAAGCCTTTTCTTACAAAGAAACATTCAAAACCCTATACAATTTTATAAAAAGAAAAAAAGGACAGAAGTCTCAATATAACAAAATATGACCTGATTAAACCAAGGTTGGACTCTTTATGCATAATTACAAAAAGTTTGTTTAATACAAAAGAAACACTACATACCTAGAGTGAATCATGGCAGTGACACAATAATGCTTTGGGGGTGTTTGCCGTTAAGCTGGAACTGGGGCCTTATTCAAGGCTTTGAACATTTCAGAATACAAGTCAGTCTACATATCAGCACAACAACCAAAACCCTACATCTAAACCCATAAAAGAGTAAAGTTGGACCAGTCCAGAATGAATGGACAACCTAGTTACAAAAGTCTGTAGAGCTGTCTCTGAAATGGGGTGAAACAGAAATAAAGGGGGTGCAAACTTATGCAAAGATGCCACTTTAATTTCAGTTGGACGAGTTGACATTTTAGGACAAGAAAGCTCTGAAACGACTCACCTTGTTCTCAATTTTTACTTTTTATGCCCAGTTTAAGCAACTTTACCAAGAAACTGACATGACTGACATGGAACAACGGGCCGGATGATAAAATAGACACCAAAACAATCAAAGACAAGCAGGTGAATGTAAAAAATATATATATATATATTATGGAGAAGCTAAGGAAGTACAGAGTAACCGCTGAATTAATTGATTTGAAGAAAAGCAAATAAGCTTTTAGGTAAATCTTATTCAACTAGCTAGTATTTCAATAATAAAAAAAAATACACTGGAAACTATAAGAATCCCCAAACAAGTTAAGAAAGTAAAAAGAAAAAACAAACCGCTAGACTTTGTTTTCCCAGTTTGAAGACGTTTCGCTTCCCATAAAGTAAGCTTTTATAATTCAAAATGTCTGGATTATGCATTGAGTTCTAAGCCTTACAGAGTAGGGCAAGGCAAGGCAAATTTATTTGTATAGCACAATTCAGTACAAAGACAATGCAAAGTGCTTTACATGATTAAAATATAGGAAAATAAAACCGAATCAAAGCAAGCAGGAAAAAAATAAATAAATAAAATAGAATAAAATACAATTAAAAATGCAGAAACAAAAAAGAACATTAAAAGCAACAAAGCCTCGTTATGGCTTAGAAAACATGCTAATTGAACTGGAAGAACAGGTCTGCCCCTTAGTGATGGGGAGTTGTTGAGGTCGTTGTGGGACTGCAAAACCAGACTGGGCCTATGCCTCTGAAAAGGGAGTCGTTAGGGTCATTGTTGGCCTGGCTGAACAGGTGGTACCAGGTGACATGCTTTGGTCCCCTGCATGGCGATGGAGGTTGAATAAGGAATCAAATCTATTGCTGAGTTGTAGGTTTTTGAGTTTTTGAGCTGAAACCTCAGACCACCCCCTCTGCTTAAGGCTGTTTTTTCCCCCCCTAAATGTCTTCAAACTTAGTAAACACAGACCAGTGGTTTGTTTTTTTTACTTTTTTGGAATGACGATGACCTAGATGACTGAAAATCTCCACCACCACAATCCCCAAACATTTCGCCAATTTTAGACTCGTATTCAGATTTCTATCAAATTCTGCCTCATGTCAGCAGGAAAATATGATCATGCGTTTCCATCAGACTTAAGCTGGGCATACACTGTTTGATTTTTTTAACCTTTTAAGGCCGATCCTCCAGTTGTGCGAGAGTCTTTCGATCAGGCCGACTTTCACCCTGATCATGCTTGTGTAGTATACAGGGGGTAACGAGCGGCGATCAGCCTCTCACGACCATCTCCCGATCAGGAATCGTAGGGTTGGGAGAAAAATCAAACAAGTTTGAAATTCAGTTGGCCGCTGTACGGTTGCATCCGAGCGTTGGGCCGCACACTGTGAGAACATACATCGTGAGCTGTGATATTTTAAACCCTGCAGTTTCCTTGCACAGTTTGAGGTGTAGATGCGTGCAATGGCTCAAAAAAATACTGTACAGTGAATGGTGTGCCAGAAACCACACTTTATCCAAGCTGCAGCACTGTCTTTCAAACTAATCAGCTTTCCCGCTGTGTAAAGACACCTGCTGGGTGGATCCCATCACCCATATTAATGCATCTCAGGTCGAAATGCCTGGAGAAAGTTATCAGAGGTGTGTCACTTTTATCCTTGTAAAAATCTTACCGACACACACAGCAAACAGAGCTATCAGCCTAATGGAAGGGTAAAAAGGTGGCTTTGGTTGACTGGAGCAGAGCAAACACAGAGACAGATAGGATAAGAAGGGAGACAGGTGGAATACACACAGGGAGTTCACACAGCCTGAGCTAGTTTATTGAGCACACAACCAGGATGCACACATAGGAAGCAAGCATCAGTTTCACAGATTATATTTAAGGCTCCTTTCCTTCATAACTACCAACCACTGCAAGAACAGGCGAGGTGCTCCATAAATGGAAAACACTATACTGAGAAAAACTGACCGACTGCCAGGTTATTAGATAAGCTTGGGCTAAAACTAATCCAGGCAGAGTCAGGGACGTCATGGGGGGGGGGGGGGGGGGGGTATATATCTGTAGGCTATTTATCTGAAATACTTCAGGGCTTTCATACAAGGCCTTAATCATGAATTACTCTCATTACCGATTCACCTGCCAGGTATAAACCCTTGTCCACCGTGGAGCAAAAAGGTATTGAGTTTAAATCCCAGCCAAGGATCTTTCCTGGTTTTTGTGATTACCGTAGATGCTCTTTGGACTCAGTGCAGGAGGTGGGGAACAAAATGATCCTAACTAAATTAACATCTCTGTAGGATAATGTCTCCCACCCCATGCATGAAGCTGTTGCAGAACTTTAGAGCACCTTCAGTGACAGACTGCTGCACCCATAATGCACCAGGGAGCGTTATCACAGATCCTTCCCCTTAGCTGCTGTAAGACTTTATAACCATCACTGTTCCCAACAACCTCAACAATGTGTTACATTCATGCTGAAGTAAAATAAAATGCTTCTGTTTGGTTTTTTTGTACATGTCTGATGTTGCTGCTATTTTCAAATATCCATTACTGTAAAAAAAATGCCCATTGCTGTTTATTAGTTATTTATTCTCCAGGTGAACAGTATTTATATTCAGGGTTTATACAGGAATTAGTAACGCTAATTTAATGCTTTTTTAATGCTCTTTAATCCAAAATCCTTTGTCATCTTTACCATTAACAGGCAGCAGCCATGCCCTGAATTCCTCATTTTCCAGACCCTTTTGTTGAAATTTGCATTTTCCCATTCTCTAGCTTATTTTCCGTCTTGAGCTTCTTTTATAAAAAAATACAGCTTTACGATCAACCATTTATATCTGATATATCTGACGAAAATAAAGCATTTTAAATGCCATGATAATGATAATCACATTAAATGAATTTTAATGCCAATTAAGGCCTTAATTTAAAAAGTAATAATTTAACGATTTTTTATGACCCGCAGAAACCCTGTATATTGATTTTTAGGGGGAGTGGCCTAGTAGTTAGGGCATAGAGCTTGGAATCCTAATGTTGTGAGTTCGAAGCCCACTCCCATGGACTGCCACTCTGGCTCTCTGAGCAAGACCCTTAAGCCCACAATGCTCCATGGGCGCCGCACAATGGCAGCCCACTGCTCCACAAGGGGATGGGTTAAATGCAGAGGTAAATTTCTCCAATGTGAGATCAATAAAGTTCGATTATTATTATTGTTAAAACACTTTACAGTATATTATTGTTTATCTTTTAACTCTTCCCTATCATGTTATTCTCATACACTTTTCTAAGGTCCACTTTTGTGTGACCATTTGATTCTATAATCTTTTTGCTGCTGTAAACACCAGAATTTCCTCATTGTGGGACAATAAGTAGATTTTCTATTCTATGCTATTCTCTTCTGGTGGAGTTTGAATGTAAATCTGTAAATCATACCTCAGTGCATTGTGCAATGGTGTGTCCTTGGTCAGGTGAGGCCCAATCAGTGCATCTTCAGTTGTTTTGGGAACAACAAAGGGCCATCATGACAGTAACATAGAACTGGTATCATAGATCAGTAGAACACAGTGAGGTTAGAGGTGTTTGTTTTCACTGCAGGAAAGAATGGATGATGTTTATAAGCACTAGTCAGCGACTCATGTCAGTGATTTAAAGCAGCGCACTTCCTGATCCCTGCTTATTGCTCAGCAGCTGCTTATGCTGACGTCTATAGAGCCAGGCCGGCCACTTTCCCATTGACAAAACCACTGCTGTGCATTTTGTTCCTCTGGTATATTGTGTGTATAAACCAGCCATGAAAAGCTCTGTCTCTACCCGGTACAGCTCTTCTCTCATTGCCGCTAGGAAGCGACCACCGGTACTGGAGGGGTCCATGTTCACACGGACCTCCACCAAATCAATGCCTGCCCACTGAGAGCAGCAGGCCTTTTATTACACAGCGCTCTGAAACCGCAGAACCTCCCGGAATGATAAAAAAAGACAGCGATAAACCAGCGATAGACCAACCCGGCCGGAGCCAGCGGAGCAGTCGAGGAACGGAGAGCCTACCTTTCTATTCAGCGAAGTCCCCGAGTAGAAGTAGTAGGCTATCCCCAGCACCCACAGCACCGCAAAACACAGCAACACCCTGGATTTCCTCCGCATGGCTGGGGGGCTTCGCTCCTCTTCGTCCGCCTAGCTCGGCTCCTTGTTCCGCGGCTCCTCTCCTCTCCTCTCCTTCTGTGAACGGCGGGCAGGCTGCTTCGCTTCGGCAGCTTTCGTTCAGTCGGTGACGGAGGAGCGGAGAGAGCAGGAAGCAGCGAGCCAACATCAACGGTGTTAGAGGGCAAAGGCTAAGCGGGTCTAATCCAATCAAACGCCGGCTCAGGCAGCCCTGGAGGACGGCCCGGGTCGGAAGTGAGTCGAGCCGTGCGGTTCCGTGCCGGAGGCGGGAGGAGGAGGTCCTGATTGGGGAGTGAACGTTAGAAATGTTCAGATGAGACTGGAGCAGACGAGAGGGAGGAAAAAATGTTACTGTTACACTTTCAGTGATTGGACGCTAGGGGCGCCAGAGACACTTCGAACTGGGTTAAAAGCAGCAAGGAAAAGGTTAATACAAAAAAGCTGCCTCAGATGAACCTAAATGTTTATATTATTTTATTATTAATAATACACAGTCTTTAAATGTAAAAAACAAAAACAAAAAAAGGTAAATTCATAACCTTGTCTGATAGATACGGAAGAGAATTAGGGCCACTGAAAAAACAAAAAGTTAACTGATTTATAAATTTGATTTCAGTTTAATATGGGGAAAAAGTAAGAATTGTGACTTTAATCTCATAATTATGACTTTTTTTCCCTCAGAAATCTGACTTTAATCTCATAATTCTGACTTTTTTCTTAGAAATCTGACTTTAATCTCAGAATTCTGACTTTAATCTCAGAATTGAGAGCTAGTTTAGTCTCTAAAACAGACATGGATACAGCTTGATACTAACATGTTTGTTAGCTGGCAGAACTCAGTCAGAATTCAGAGATTAAAGTCAGAATTCTGAGGAAAAAAAATCATAATTCTGAGATTAAAGTCAGAATTCTGAGATTAAAGTCAATATTCAGATTTTTTCTTCCAGATTAAACTGAAATAAAATGTAAAAATCAGTTAACTTTTTAATTTTTTCAGTGGCCCTAATCTTCTTCCGTAGATAGAAACACATCTCAGTAAATTAGAATGGGAAGGGATTTATTTATAAATCCATATATAGACTTATCACTTTATATAGGATTTGTGATTTGTTTAATTCAAATAGAAGAGAAAATTAGAATAGAAAATCCCTTTATTGTCCCACAATGGGAAGATTATGGTGTTACAGCAGCAACAAAAGTTTATAACAAAAGTGCTCACAAAAATGTTGACTTTAAGGTGTATAAAAATAACAGAATAAGAGACAGTTAAAATAAATAAAATATTGTACTGAACAGTGTTTTCACAATATAAATACTGTGCATCTATAGAATAAATAATCAATATACAGCTGTGGACATATTTACAGTAATGAATACGTGAAAAAAATAGAAGCAACACCAGAGATGTGCAAAAATCATAACAGCGTGTTATTTCCCCCACTGAGATATAAACTGTGCAAAAATCAGAAATTAATTTTGTGGCTATTATGGATTAAAGTTTTTTTTGTTTGTTTATTGTTTTTAATGATACACAAACATTATGTACCTGGACAACAAAATCACTGGAAGAGATTGCTGACTTGGGGATTGTCCAGCAGTCACTGGTGCCCTCCACATTAGGCTGGGAAGCAGCAAACATTTATCATCACACAAAATGACGGCTCAAAAATTAGATTAAAGCATCTGAATGAAAAGATGAGAGGAAGAAAAAAGTGTGATGGGAAATGTGCAACAGTTACACTGATGACTGCAGTCCTGGGATGAGCAAAGCCAATTTGGGGAGTTTGATTTAAATTTGATGTGTTTCTCCATTTTAAGATTCCTGAAACAAGGCAACACCAGGAGACCTGACTGGTTCTCCCTGGCCAAAAGTCTGCTGTTCAGATAAAAGTGTTCTTTTATTCACAAATCAGAGACTATATAAATCTCCAAAGGCCACAGAGAAATACAGCAAAGAGTTGACCAAGAGTTTAGTTGGTATGTCTGTAGAGGGCCTTTTTCTGATTAATTTTTGTGATAGGAGTAGGACTGTATTGACTTTAGTAACTTAGAGACAGAACATATCAGGCCTTTGAAATACAGTTTGATAGTGTTGATCATTTCTGGAATACTTAATATTCAGTGAGATATTCTCAACTTTTTCAAGCTGGCAATATTGAATGTTTCAAAGCTCACTTTGTGCGTTATCAGAAAGGTGCCAAAATGTGACAAACACTATTCCCCTGTATGCTTCAGAAAGGAGACTAACCCAGAGCTTCTGTGAGCTGTTGTTAGTATGAATGCAATTAGATCTGTGCAGAGAAATTAGACCTATATAGCAGAAGTGAGGTAGTATATAGCTTTCAAATTACTTTTCCCTTTGCCAAATTGGCAGTGGTAAAATTCTCTATTTTCACTATTTTAAAAGACCAAAGACTCTGACATGTCTTAAGCCTGTTCTTTGGTCCAGCTTGTAAAATAGAAGAGTCACATCTAAATCAACATGACACTTGACAATACCTCTCATCATAAAAGAAAAAAAAGACATGAGATGTTTGCATTTATATTTAGATATGAAAGCCCTTTTTAAAAAATGTGTCCTCATGGAAGGCTGATGTTCACAAGTCTGAAGGCGGGGTTTTAAGGAGCTGGGTGATAAAGAGATAAACTGACACGTGAAGCAGAGTTAGGCCATGCAAGCTTCCTAGGTAAAAATGGAAGCTTTTAAAGGGATTCTGAGCCACAGTGCTTTGAAAATTGTCAATTTCTCTTTTAACAGTTTGTCATTTTGACTGACCAACACAAATATCTTGGGTTGTTTCTTACAACTTTGGCAATTGGCATTTTTTTTCTTCTTTACAAAATACCTGAATGCCTGTCAGGCCAAGTAGAGAGACTATCAATAGAAATGTTTTTGTCTTCTTGCATTATTGCAGTTGTATTGTATGTACTTTGACAGAGGCATTCTAAAACATACATTTGCTGTCATCTAAACAATTATTTGGAGTTTTGGCTGCAAGTTTAAGGTCCTGTTAGGTTTAAACACCAAACACCTTATTCAGCAACCTGCACAAAGAATGACACAGAGAATTTAGTATATTTTACTTGCAAGGAGAGGGGATCAGAAACTGCATTCAGTTACAACTTCAAACCCACTCTGAAGCAGTATCTGCTCTCCAAGCCCTTTATTGAAGAAACACCCTGATTACAATGTGGTTTCAACCGCTAAAGGGGGAGGGAACAGAACCCAGTTGAAACCAGAATTTTCGTACAACATCATACAACATCAGAGGATAAGGAGAACCCCTCTCCTTATCTAGTTGCACAGTTCTCCATTCTCCTCCACACCCTTAACGACATCTGTTAACAGCAGTCGCAGTCAACATCCCTCCTGCACAGACTTAAAAAACATTAATGACACAGCAAACAAAACTAAATGTTTTAACACTCTTTGTAATATGAGTAAGATAGAGATAACAAAATGTGTAAGTATAATATGATTAAAGTAGAATAACTTATGTACAATTAATTAACCCAACATTTCCCTCCTGTTTATTCACTTTAAGCTATTTATTTTTATCATTCAATAGTTACTTCTTTTCAGATTTTCAACTAAGAAATCATTCTTTTTTCTTTTTTTAGCTGTAAAGGGTACACTCAGAGGTACTTTAAACTGGTGGGTTATTGTCGTTGGGATTAGGATAAAAGTCAGGAAAGTGTAAAGAGAATTCATCCTCTTCGCTGTCTTCATCATCCGATAGGTGTTCCTCAGTGGACATAAGGGCATACATTTCTGTTTTCATGGGTTGTATTGCAGTGGTAATTAGTCTATTTAGCAGCGCTCTAATACATGGAATACAACAACATCCACATAAGGTCAGGATGGCGGCAAATATAGCTACAGACATCAAAATAGAAAGTACCAGTTGTTTGTATTTACCAAAAATGTCTCCAGATCCATCCCACATTTTTGTGTCAACTCCAGAATGGTCTTTCATTTTGCTGTTAAGAGAGCGAAGGCCTTCAAGGGCCTTTGTGAGGCTGCCATCTGCAGCAGTGTTGTTGGGAATAAAGGTGCAACACTGATCTCCAAAAATAGAGCACACACCACCTTTTTCAGCTAACAACATGTCAACAGCAATACGGTTCTGGAAAGCCATCAGAGAGGTAGCTGACAATTGTTCATGGACGGCGGAGAAGCCTTGTTCTGTTTTATTTCCCAGCCTCTGGACGTTATAATGGATGTAGTTGATCCTGTCTACATTTTTATTTATAGTACACCACCAGCATAAGAAAGATTCAAATCCTGCAGAAACTTGATTCACTAGTTTATACTCATCTGGAACACCTCTGGGTACTCCAATACTGTCAATATAAGTAGGGTCATCTGGACTCCACGCATTTTCAGATGCCCTCCTTCTTCTAGTATGCCATGTATGTGGTAAAATACTGTTTACAGTCGTTAACAATTCATCCATTGTGAGTGAAGTAATAGAAACAGGTAAAATCAAGGTGACTGCAGCACACAATCCAGTGGTGTTGCATGGAAGTCTGTCAAACAATCTGTCATCTCCACACCACCACCAGATGTCACTGCGGGATTGAGGTTTAAAAAAGGTGGATACCAGTAAAATGCTTGCACATTGTTTTTCATTTAGTGTACCCAATTTTGGGCCCACTCCGGTCCTGTTTACACAGGTGAAATTTGCCACAGCCACTTTCTTCAAAAAGATTGGTTTTTTCTTCTCATCTGTGGTCAGGGGATAGATCTTATCCCAATAGGTGCAATTATCAGTTGGAACTGTATAATTCATTATATTTAGAAGACATTGAGGAGTTATGGTGGCAGGAACCACACGTAACAGCGGTCTGGCTCCCATACACACAAGACAATCAGTGGACACTGTTTTAGCTGCTTGTTCTGCCATTAAAAGCCAGTTATTTGTTTGCCCAGAGATTCCAGTGGTGACTTGAAACAGTTCATCCGTTTTAAGCGGGTCATTAATATTTTGAATTTTTATCTGTTCACCTTGGGCAGAAGTAAGAATCCCTTGTATCTCATTTTCTTCTTGTGTAACATTTGCAGAGCACAGATACAATGTCCAACACGGATCGGTTTCACTAGACCGTGCACATATAAATGAGGAAGAACAGCCTTCCTTCTCAAGGGGTTCTGCTGTGGAGTTTATTGTCATAGTGAAAACTTTGGAGGCATGGTTAACAGTGAACCCTGATATTCTACTCATCCATTTCTTAGCTAAAGATGTCCATCCATACGATCCTTTTTTCCACTGTCCAGTGGTTCTGAAAACGTCTCCCCAACTCTTTTGAGTTCTTTGAACTACACGGGGATATAGGTAGAAATCATAACCTCGCCAATCTCCCGGGTCAAT